GGTCAGCTTCTGAAAGGCGGCTTGGCAGGCCGGAGTGAACTCTTTTCCAAAGTGACCCGCCAGGACGATGATGGGGACGTTTCCCAGAAGCCGGAAGAGAAGGGGGGATACCTGAAGCCTGCTGCAGGAGGAGCTTTTGCCAGCAACTCTGGCCCCCCACCCCCACCCCCCGCGTGTGGCAGCCCAGCAACATCCCTGCTTAAGGGGAGAAAGGCGGCTTCCCCACCAAGCACCGCCTGGTGCCCAGAAGGAGCGGTGGGCAAGGGTCTTTCCCTGCGGGCGCTGGCACAAAAGCCTTTGCTCCTGCAGGCCAGGAAGGACAGCCAGCCAGCCGGCCACCTGGGACAAGGCGGTCATGGGCCCTGGGAGCCTGAATTTCGCGTGGGAAACCAGGGGACTTTTGCTCATCCCTGGGCTTGAATGTGCTGCTCGGAAACAGAACGTGCCGCTGCTCCAGCACCTGCCAAGCTGGCAGGCAGAGCCCCGTCTGAGGGCCCCGCCCTGCAGGACTCGGGGTGCCAGGAGGCCGCGGGGGGGCGCTCTGCGGGGACCCCTCAGCGGGGCCCAACCCTGGGGGAGGGGCCGGGGTCTCACCTTGAAGTTCTCGGGGTCCACGTGCAGCTTGTCGCAGTGCAGCTCGCTCAGCTTGGCAAAGGTCTCCTTGACGCCGTCCAGGTGCTTGATGGCCTCCCCGAAGGAGGTGAGCACCTTCTTCCCGTGGGCCTTGACCTGGGGGTTGCCGCATATGGCGGTGGGGCTCGAGAGGTTCCCGAAGTGGGCGAAGAGCCGCTGGGTCCAGGGGAACATCACCAGCATCCTGCCGGGAGAGGGGAGACGGTGACCGGATGCCCCGCGCGCTCCTGACCTCCGCCGGCCCGCGCCCACGCCCGCGCCCGCGCTTACTTAGCCAGAGTGGCGGCGCCGATCTCGGCTAGGTCGACCTTGTTCCAAAGGGCGGTGATCAACTGCTTCTCTTCGGCCGACCAGTGCACCATGATGGCTGCGGAGGGAGCGCTCGGAGAGTCTT